CCTTTTACCTGCTGGGTATAATCATGTCTCACTTACCTGCTTTCTTTGCTTCTAAAGAAGCTTTTTGAAGATTAGATAGGACTTTTGTAAGTACGACAAAGCTCCTTTCTTTAAATGTTACCATCTGCCTGCAGGAAAATCACAGTTTTTTTCCTTGCAGAATATATCTCAAAGTTATAGGAGAAAGAAAAGGTGATAATGTGAAATGGAATTACTTGCAGTCCTTTACTACCCTTGCACAGTCATTTTGTGCCTCTTCTTGCAGTTTGAGAGCACAGGATTCTTAACAAACTAATAGCTCTCAGTGCCAATAAAGTTAGGAACGACTTGCTGTTTGATGTTGCTTGAAACATCAGTTATTCCAAACAGGACGTGACTGATCTCTCAGTGTCAGTTACATGTGAGAGTCCCCTGACATGCATAGTTTGGAATGTTTGCTTGTCAGACTCTCAGTGTTATGAATCTTGTTCTGGGGAGGCTTCCCAGCTCTTTTACAATGATCACTTTTCTTCCAATATTTATTTGGATGAAACATCCAGAAATTTGTGTAGTTTTCCACTTCCATCACCATACATACATTCTCTTGATGCCTCTACCCATCTGTTAGACGGAGTGGGATTCGGGATTGGTTTTCCGGCCCCGTGTAGAGAACACTCTGAGTGATGTACTCGCTGTACTCCCCGACCTACTCCTTCCACTCTTGCATCACCTCTGTCCAGTCTGCTCCAGCTTCTGCCTAGTGCTAAAAATGGGAAGGAAAAAAAATCACCATTAGGAAGATGAACCATGAACTTTTAAAAAGAAAGCAGATTATCTAAAAATAGAGCATCCCTCTGGGAGTGACTTTACGGGGTCTTCATTCAGAAGCATATTATTCACCTGCACTCTTTGCCCTGATAGCTCTCCCTTGAAATGTCACCCTTTCCTGGTCCCTAAGAGTCACTCTGCATACTCCTTCCCTGCAGCCTCCCTCCCCTCCTTCCCTAACTCTGAACTATTGTCCTTTGCCATAGATGCTTCTCCCCTACACTCTGACTATAAAAATACAGTGAGAGATATGGGGGCACTGTCTAGTAGCCTGGAGAAATAAAATTAGATTTCAGAATAATCTTTGTGCTATCTCTCCATTCATTTGTTATCTTGGAGGAGTCGTAAATCTCTTAGAAGTTGAATTCTCATATACCCAGTGGGATGACAAGACTGCATGCAATAGTTCAGCATGAGATGTTACATGAATCAAGTGCAATAACATATGTGAAAGTGACATACAAATGCAGCAGTAATTTAGATACAATGAATGATTGAGCAACTAGCTTTTACAAATTATGTGCTATGGGCTGAGTTAAGTACATGTTAATTACATTGCTTAAATACCTATATCAATTGATTTTTACAACCCACTGACATTTTTATTATGATATCCTCATTTTACTGGGTGGATGAAGAAAGAAAAGCCTTTGATTGGTATTTTACCCAAAGGAGCATAATTATTCTGATATTTTCTTGTCCATATATGGTTTGGGCAATAATGAAAAAATAAGGTCATCATGTCCAGTGGGTCTGGCTCTCCCTTAGTCCCTATTCCATGATCACTAAGAACCGTACATTTCCCTTATTCTCCAATTTAAAGGGTGGAAGACCTAGTGGCAAAGTCAGAGTCATGAAAACCCAACACATATATTTAACATTAAAGTATTTTATGGAAGCTACATTAGTCAGTGTTTTACTAGCAGAATAGATATAAGACAAGATATACAAATGTAAAAGAAATTACAAGATTGGCTTACGATGGTCAGCCACAGAGTTGGATGAGGAAGTGTGCAGAGGATCTGTGATGGATTAATTTATGGTGGACTTGTAACACCCAGTAGAACTGAATCAGAGTGGTGCTGGGTGTGGAGGGTCCACCTGAGGATTGCTGCCAACAGCATAAAAAGAGTACTGGAGGGGAAGATAGTGTGCTGCTGATTCTCTTGGAAAAGCTTGTTGTGCTAGTTTTTTTGATTTGAACTTGATTGTTCTCATCACTGAAGGAGCTCAGACCCTCGCTGTTGCTAAGGATGGCTGAGGTTCTTTTCAGGGGAGCTTTGATCCTTACTTTAAGCATTGCTTCCTGACTCCACTGCAGATCCCTCAACCTGCTAGCACAGATCCTTGATCCCACTGGCACAGACTTTCTACCACTGACCTTTGGGCCTTCCCGGTGCAGATCCTTGATACAGACTTGCATGAGGCATTGTTGTGGGCTCTAGGCCTCCAGCTGTCCTCATGCAGGACATTGC